TTCTTGACAGGTCCATATTTTCTATATTCATTTTGTTTAAGGGAGAAGATACTGTACTCTAAAGAAAAGGTAAAAGATATATAGTAGACATAACTAAGTATTCAAAGGGGAATCGCACTGAATCGCTATATATATGAATCAAACCTCTTTTTTACAAGTAAAGAGTGTCGCCCACTTAGACTGTAAGTAGTATTAAACTAATAGTTGGTAATAGATAATATAATATTGTTAAGAGCTAATTATGGAGCATTTGACCAACTAACTGCAAATCTCGGAAAAAAAAAAAAAAAAACCTCTTAGTCTAATGGAGCGTTTGTTGCACCAGACTATCTTGGACTGGACTAGCTTCAGAGATTAAGCTGGATACACTTGGCTTGGACTAAGTTGGATAAAAATTATGAAGCATTTGGTGCAGCACTGGACTAAGAAACAAAACAATAAAAACATTCATTTTATTTGATTATTAAAATTTTATTTTGTAGGTATTTCTATTTATAAAAACCTAATTAATCCTAAAAATATTTGTTTAACCATTTATTAATTTACTTTTGCCCTAAGAAAAACTAAAAAGTAAGAAACAAGAAATGAATTAACATCAGTCATCTGCCCTTCTTCATCGCAAAGAGATACGAACTCATGTTCATCAAGCAAGTAAGACCATTGTTTCTTTCTCAAAGCCGTTCTTCTTTGGGAAGCAAAACCCATGAAAATATTTTGTTACTGTGGAACAAATGGGAGAGAACCTAGTAAATTAATCAAACCCAAAGTCATAACTTCAGTTGAACAACATGAAAAACCCAGCCAAACCCATAAACTTTCTTGCCATAGAACACAAGAGAGAATGTTTTCTTTATTCTGCAATATCTGATCAATGGGTTCAATGGGTTTCAGAGTCAATAACGAGAGATAAAAATCTAGCTAATGGGTTCCAGATCAGGGGTGGTGGCGACTCTCAGTGTGACCTAATTTTGTAGGAGATCAAAAAAATGGCAATGTAGGAGTTCGTGGAAGCACTACTACGAAACCATTTATTAGTGTCACTATGATAACCGACAAGAAACGTATATTATTGTTGGATTTTAAGCAAAATCTGACGGAAAATGGATGCAGTGGCGCATACAATAAGTGACAGAATTGCCAGTGTCAGAAAATGAATTTTTTGACAGAAAATACTCTAAAACCGACAGAATTTGTGTCGGATATAACCGACAAAGAATTTATTAATAATGAGTAAATAAAAGCATTCTCTGTCAAATAAAACAGATTAATAAAAAAAAATATAAACCACAACCTAAATCTTTTCTTTCTCCTTCAAGTTGGCCTCCCTTGCATTTTTCAACGAACGGATCTCGAGTATTCCTGCAACAAAACAACCAGCGAACAGATTCGTGAGCACCCTACACAAACTACCCCTAAACTTTATCATTCTTGCAAATCAACAGATCTTCGACATGCAAAACCAACACAGTCAACTGAGGGCATGAATTTTTAATTTAGATTTTGATCCGTGTTTTGTCTTTCTTGCGTAATGACGTATCCAAGCTTTGGAGTCCACTTTTGTGCATACATCAGAACACGGATGGGTGTAAAAATCACAGCATAAAAAAACTTTGAAAATAAAATTAGAACCGAAGTTTGGGGGTGATTACGTTTTTACCTAAAGGTGGGGGAGTCATGGATGATCCGCCATGGATTTGGAACTTTTGGGTGTTGGCACGCCTCCCTTGTTGTAGATCCGTGTACGCTCGCAAAAAAAAAATGTTGCTTGGATGTGTTAGTTCTTTGATTTGTCCATGACAATAAACTCAATGGAACTCCATGGCAACAAAATGAGATTTTTACCTTTGACTTAGGGGTTTCGCTACCGAAATCCAGTGCAAATGATTGCTTCCATGAACGGGACCAAGAGCCATGGCGGCATGGATTACAGTTTCAGATCGAGAGAAATGGAGGTGAAGGGTTTGTGTTGAACAACAATGAAAACTAGATTGTGTGTAGGTCGAGAGTTATGAAGACATTTCTCATGGTTGATGGAGGAGCGGTTATGGCTTCTACCAAGGGTTTGTGTTGATTTGAGAAAGGGCTGAGAGAAATGAGAAGACCTTTTTCGGTTTCTCGAGAGAGAATAACCTAGGGTTTCTAATTACACTCAGAAATGAAAGCAATGAGAGAAACCTATGGTTTTTCATTTGGAATCCTAGGGAGATCCTTTTCCTGATGCACGACACGTGTGTGCATCCTAAGCTTCTGGGCTTACCGAGGACACTATGGATATTCGCGGAATGAGAGAGCCGTGTGGGCTCTGGGCTCAAGGTCATCAAAAGCTGAAATGCGAATGGGTGTAGTTGCTAGGGTTTTGCAATAAAATAGTAAAATAATCAATTTTTGTCGGTTATAACCGCCAGAAACTAAAATAATAAAATAGTCAATTTATGTCGGTTATAATTGCCACCATTAACTTAAAAACCGCCGGAATATGTTAAAAATATTTATAAAAAAAAAAAGAATTCAAAAATACTAGCGGTTGCATCTGACACTAAATATCTGCCAAGAATTTATGTCGGATATAACCGACATGATTTCATCGTTATCTGACACTAACTAAATGATGTGTCGGATATCTTTTATCCAACATAATGGCTTATTAAACCGCCATTATCATCTGATACCTAAAGCTAATATTGTAGTAGTCAGGGGGGCTACGACGAACGCTGCTTTCTGTGATAGCATGAAGTTGTAAGCGAGAATAGTCCCGGTAACATCATGTGTTCACTCGGGTTTAGAAAATGCGACTTAGTGAGGCATTTAGTTGACATGAGTTGGACTTAGCGTCATTGTTGCTAGTCTTGTCCCATGCCAAACATAGGATTGCAATGCTGGCTAAGCCAGTCCCCTCTAAGGAGGCCTAACAAACGGTGCCCAAGAGATTCCAAGTTTAATTTTTCAACCCTCACTAATAAAAAAAAAAAAACATCGTAACTTTGATGTTTACCTTTAACACTACATTCATCTTTATAATACACGAGTCTAGGATGAGTTTGAGGGCGGGTTCCTTATTTGTATTATGAATTTTAAAATTGGAAATAAAAAATTGAGTTAAAAGATTCAAAATAATGGAAATGCAAATTTAAAAAAAAATGAAGAAATATAAGATAAACATTTGTTTTGATAGAAAAGTACGAAAAATAATTTGTGTTTAAAATGTGGTGATCAAACTAATGAGAACATGGCCATATTGAATTCGAGGCACCTAGAAGAATTCATGCCAATTATACATACAAAAGTAAGAAATATTATTTTATCAAACATTATTGCTATGATTACCAATATTATATCCCACATAATTGGTGAAAGTAAACCGATAGCGTCTTGAAGTACGACATCCACAAAAAACCTCCATGTTTGATAAAAAGGTTAAGGGTGTAAAACAATTGAAAAAAAGTGTTGAAAGAATCAAAGATATACGCAGTTTTTCAATAAAATAAATACATATGCAAATTTTCAATTCAAAATAAATATTAAAAAAAACGAAAGAGAATGAGATTATGAAGGAACATGGGACATAACGCCCTAAGCTTTGTTTGACGTCCCTTATAATCGGAGGTAACGCCTTCGCGAGGATTTGCAATGATTACCAATATAATCCCTTATAATTGGCAAGATCGTAAATCTTGATTGGATAATACTTGCATCCCATAAATGAATGCGCATATCTCATTTTTTATAAATAACATATTTTTACTTTATAGACTATCACTACAAGAAAAATAGGCTAAGAACACAATTGATATGTGCCCTTTGCATTTTCATTGAGCACAAATATATATTGGTGCTCTTAGATGTCAATGAACACAAAACTATCACAAATATGCTTTCTGAACAAAAAGGCACATTAGTTAGTGTCTAAACAAAAATGTATTTGTACCTATTAAATTTTGAACACAAAAGTTTGTGTCACTACTTATGGATATCCGTAATACTAATTTTTTATTAATTTACAAAAACAAAAAAAAACATTTTCGTGCTCTCTAATTTAATATATTTAAATCATTTGATTTTATAGGCACAATGTTCGTGTCTTCCTTTACCAGTCTACACACCAATCATATTTTAGTATTAGTTTTTATTGATCAAGGTGCCCCACACACACACACGTTTCATCACCATCACCTGGCACATCCGCTGTTTGGATCAAGTGGATGTTTTCTAAATTTATTTTCCTATTCGAGACTTTCTGTTGTCAAATTATAGGGCTTTACCAATTGGATTAGTTCTTGAAAAAATTACGGAGTCGAAATTTATTCGAATAAGAGTCAACAAACCAATAAAATTTGTTTGTCAGCTATTTTTGTCTTTATATTTAGCACACACAAAAAATTAGACTATAAAATAAATTATAAAATTGTGGTAAATAATGGTATGGGGCTGTTTAATGCTATGCAGTGTTCTAGTCTCAAAATAGGCTAGCAATAATGTGGTTCAAATTCGCATTTGGCGAGAATCAAACCTAAAACCTCTTACTTACAAGTGAAGAGGAATACCATTAGATCGTAGTACTAAGTGACATGTTTTAGATTTACGATGAATCTACAATGAATGCTTGTTAGATTCTTATCTTTTTCAGTTGCTTTTTAGATTCTAATCTTCCTGTAGGTTGATTTTTGATACTTGATGATATGATTTTTGTCTTTATCGTAAGTGTTTATATTTTTTTACTGTATTAGAAGTCCTTTATGCAGTGACACATAACAAAAAATTATGTCTATATGGTCATCTGTCTAATTAACCGTACAAAGGTGTAGTGGGTCTTTAGGTAGACAAATGACACAATTATAAATCATTCCACTTCCTATACAGCAAAAGAATATGTTGGCACAATTATGGATTTGTGCATTTGAATTATTTTAATATTGTTTATGTTTGAGTGGTGTTTTGGGACCCACCCACGTGTGAGTCCCTCTTCCCCGTGCAAACCCCCTCATTTTCACCTTACTTCTTTCTGCCATCCCCACTCCTGTCTCTTTGCTCCCTCTGTTCTTCTTCTCTCTTCTCCCTCTGTTCCTCATCCTTCTTTTCTCTCTCTTGGCTCGCTTCTACCCCGAGCAACACAACCACCACGTTCTCCGGCGATTTCGAACACCAAATCACCACCATCCTCGTCCCAACCTCACACTAAACATGGAACTAGAACCCAGAGTCTCAGAACTTAGACTCGAACCTCAAATCAAAGAACCAGAGCTCCGTCTCAAATCCGAGAGAGTTTCGGCGAGTTCATTGCTTTCCCTACCGAAGTAAGGTCCGAAGTCGCTCTTCACTTATTTCTCTCATATTTAAGGCTCTTCCCTCATTTCTTCCAAGCAAATCCCAGCCATGCCATCAGAATTAGTAGAGCCACAACCCAAAATCACTTTCATCGTTGCAGATCCGTTGCATCCTCCTGTATTTTTTTTTTGTAACGCTGCAACCCAAAACTCATAAATTGTAAATCTGACGCAACCATGGAGTCTTAGCAATTCCTTGAGCTTAGTACCACCTCAGTGCTGCAATCGACACCCAAAAGGTAAGCCTTATAAATCTCCTTGTACATTTCTTGTCCATTAACCTTCCTTGTTCAGTCTAATCCGTTAAATCCTCATACATGTGGTTGCTTCTCTGTGTAGGACTTTCTCTCCTTCATCTTCACTGCAAATCCCAACGCAAATCCGTCTATACAAGAAGTGTCTCATAGATCCTTACGCCCTCGAAGGTAAAATTCATCCCTGCAATTATTTGAGCCTGTACTTGGCTGATCTGTAAATGTGCTGCTTGTGCATGCCGAAAATATGAATTAGGCTATGTCTCGCATAAATCTGTGAAAGTAGTCCTTTCTGATTTCAGCGTGTTCATGCATCAGTGGTTTTAGTCTACTGTCTGCAAGCTCATGAATGTGTTCTGTATATTGCATGTCTCCATTGATGAACACATGAGGTCAATTTGTGTGTAATTTGAGATGGAATGTGGAAGTGGTTTGAATTTATGGTGTATTTATTCTGGTGTCTGACGACTATACTTAAATCACATGACTCTAGATTTAACATTCTACCTACTTATATCATGAATACAATTTTTAAGAATGAGTTTTCAAAATTGCAGGTGATATTGTGAACTTATTCAAATCATTTTAGAGAAAATACATCTACTTTGATATTCATGTATTTTCCTTTCATTTTCGTTGTTCTTGTAAGTTGTGTGGTTTCTTTATCTTTGAGGTTTTTATTCATAACCTTAGCAGGAAGAGGCCCATATTCTATATAGAACGGCTGATTAATTTATTTGTGGAACAAGATGGGATGAAGTAAAAGCTTTCTGGGAAAAATTCAAGTGTTCAGAAATGCTTGTTTTCATTTTCATATGAATTGATTGTTTGTAGAACTAAATTGTAATAGCATTTTTGTAATATTTGAATTTTTATTTTAATATTTTACCTATTGGGCACAAAAACAAAACTGTGTTAACATGGCTTGGAAAAAGTCAGTGTTGTCAAACTGTCAGAGCTGAGAAACAAAAGAACCTCTATTTGTGCTGAGCTTTTTGGGCATCAAAGACCATATTGTGCCCAATGGTCAAGGGTGACGACCATAGAGGGCACATACACAAAGATAATAGCTGCATTGTTACTATTGGTCTATGGGCACAATTGTTGGTGCTTTTTGGCCTCAAAGGGCACAGATAATTTATTGTGTACAATGCTCATTTTTGTTGTAGTGTATATAATTGGAAACCATTCATTTTCTCAGTCTTCATTTGAATATCATCCCTATTAAAACATCACTTGAATCGGAGGTAACACCTTCATGAGGATTTGCAATGATTATCAATATTAAAACCCTTATAATGGCAAGATCGTAAAACTTCTTTGGATAATACTTGCATCCTATGAATGAATGCATATATCTCACTTCTTACGAATAACATATTTTTAATATATATATATATATATATATATTATATATATTATAATTGTAACTGTTCATTTTTTCGGTCTTCTGTCTTCAATTCAAATGATTTTGTGTAGATATGATCTCCAATTCAAATGATAGGAGGAGCATTTGAACTTGAGACCTCTTACAATATATTACTAAATTTGATTTTAAAGAGCACCAACTTAACTTAACCTACAAACTAGAATGCTAGCTGCCCTTCCCACTTGCATTTCCCCACTTATCTTTCTCACTCAATGACAGACTTTTTTTACACTTAAACGTATTAAATTGTATATAATTGTTTTTCATTGTCTTTCCACCTATGCCCTAATTAAATTCAAATGCAAACCAAATTATTGATATTATCCAGCTGAAATTTTCCTATCTCATTTTTTTTAACATACAATTCCAATTTTTTAAAGACTCCTTTTATTTCTTCTGGTTTTAGTCTCTCGTTCACTTCTTCCTTTTTATTTATGTTTCAATTGTTCTTGACACCTTTTTTCCCATTGTGCTTGTTCCATCCAGACGCTACAAGAGAAAAAAAAATTGAAAGATTGTCTCTCATATAAAAATTTGAACCTAATCCAAAATTATCGCAATTGTACCACAACATAAAACTTGAACATTATTTCAACACTTCAGTACTTAGCTTTCCACACTCTAAAAAAATTAACTGAACATTTTCCATTTGATGCAAGACCATCACATTGTTGTTATCTCTGGTGCACGCAAGTCATTCTACTGCCCTAACCAAATAGTATAAATTAGCATTAAACCTTATCTTACAACCCTCATAATTTGTATAATACAAGGAAAATAAGCGATCTAACCAACTTACCAATTCATGTCTATAAGGGTCCTTAAAGAAGGGAACGAGAGACTAAAACCAGAAAAAAAAACAAAAAAGAAGAGTCGTTAAAAATTAGAATTGTATAAAAAACAATACACATAATGAGATATGGAAAAGTCGGTGGATAATATTTTTATGATTTGGTTTACGTTTGAATTTAACTAGGGCATTGATGACCACTCAGTATGGTGGTATTCCTCTTCACTTGAAAGTCAAAGGTCTTAGGTTTAATTCTCGTCAAAGACAAATTTGATCCACGTTATTGCTATTCTATTGTAAGGCTAAGCCTCACCTCATTCTCTCCTTAATGTAGATAATATAGTTTATTAAAAAAAAATTAGGTTCTCATCCTTTCTTTTGCTACTCCATTGATTAAAATCCTATTTCTTTTCAATTTTTGATCAAGGTCCTTGGGTATTAATAACATCATTAATTATTTCAATAATAAAATATTTTTTATGTCTAAATATATTCATTTAATGTTAAAAATGTTACAATTAGTATATTTATATTTATGATTAATTTTTTATCATATATTTTTAGTTTTAGTTTGTACCTATTTTTAATTTGTAATTCTTTTTTTAACTTGTACCAATTTTCTTTTCGGTTTTAATTTGTACCCATATATTAATTTCTTTTTGTGCCCATATTTTTTCAAGTTTATTTGTATTTGTACCCATATATTTTTTTTGTATTTGTACTTTTTATTTTGCTAAATGTACCCATGCTAATTATATGTAACCATTCATGTAAAACTTTTTAATCTTAAAATGTACTCATTCTTAAATATACCAATTTGTTATATGTAAAACATACCCTTTTTTATATAAAATCTATTCAATTTTTTTTTCTAATCCATTTTTAAACTTATATGGGTACATTCTTTTTTCTTTGATTTTAAAATGTATCCATGTCAAGTTTAATCGAAGAAATTTACTAATGTTATTAAGCCTAATATCTTTTTTTTTTTGTGATTTTGAAGAATGTACCCATGTTTTGATACAATAAATTTTTTGGTTAATTTTGATGAATGTACCCGTGTTTATATATATACACACACACACACACACAATAGTATATTTATATTTTAATATTTTTAATCCCACAAATTATAGTTTTTTTATTTAAAATCTCATTTATATAAACAACTAAAAATTTTAATTTTTAATTAAAAAAAATACAGTAATGTACATATAAATAAATTATCACATTAATTTCAAGGACCTTGATCAAAAATTAAAAATCAACAAGAATTCAATCAAAGAATATTCATAACTAAGGATCGCATCCAAAGTCTCCCTTAAAAAACAATACTAAGCTTGTACTTGGTTAGCTTTGCAGACAAGGCACAAGCGTGCATAATTTGAGTGCTTATGTATTGATAATTCAATGCTTAAGCACCAATCATATTAGTTGACCTTCAAGCAGATCAAAACAAACACATTTGACTTAGCTTCAATCATTTTTAGGTTATTTTTAATCAGTTCCTATCATGCAAATCACTTTGTCGCGTCGGGGCTCAATGATAGAGTTGACTTCATATCTTTCACAACCCCCAAAAAAAAAGAGTTGACTCCTAATTAAAAATTAATATGTGATCTTTTATTCCAACAGGCCCGACACAACACTTGAAAAAACAATGTGATTGTTAATGGGTAAACTAAATATTATATCCCTTAGATTTGGGGTGATTTTCAAAATAGATCATGAGGTTTTAATTCTTCACATTGCATGTATCAGTTATACTTTTTATCTCTATAACTATCTAATCCTCTATCAAATTAATAGATTTTTTTTGTAAATGTAATGCAAATTTGGCTTATACATTAGCCCATTTAAAACTCTTAAACTCGTTATACCAACAATTCAATAAAGGGTCAAACAATCAGTCGACCAAGGGCATACTACATTTCTATTCAATAAGGGGTCACCACCAGCCTCACAGCATCACCACCACACTCCCCCTACCCTCAATTTTCCACCTCCTCGTTTGGATATTTGTGAGAATGTAAAGGTACAACAGTCTCACATTGGTGAAAGAAGATACATTGCAAGGGTTTATAAGAGATTGAACTACTTCTCATGTTGCCAATTGGTTTTATAGTGGAACCTCAACTTCTTCATGGTATCAGAGCTAGGTTGGCCCCTGTATGAAGCTCAATGGCCACACTTACTCCACATCACACAATTCGTGTTGTCCATATGTTTGGCTTGAAAATTTAGCACATGTGAGGGAACATGTGAGAATGTGAAGGTAAAAGAGTCTCACATTAGTGAAAGAAGAAACCTTGCAAGGGTTTATAAGAGGTTGAGCTACTCCTCATATTGACAATTAATTTTATGATTAGCTAGATGAAATTTAAAGTTGAGATTCACCTCCAAATTTTTAGGTTTTTAGTTTTTTTTTTTTCTCTTCTATATGTAACTTCTAAGTTTATTTTTTTATGAATCTATATTGTGAGTTTTATCGAACTCCACTCCATTATATGTTATGTGCTTCTTTTAAAAAGCACATGTATTTTTATTAAAAATATCCATGTGCTTTAAATCAAAGTACTTTTAATAACGTAAGCGCTTGGAAACAAAAGTGTTTCAAAAGTTTTTTAAAATTCGAGAACAAAAAATTCATTTCTTGTGAAATAGTAGGCTGCATCTACATCTACTAAGTATATCTTGTAAGAAAGATGAAGTTCAGGAGTGTGATCTAAGTGAGGAGATTATCAATGGTCAAAACAAAGCCACTTGTCAAGAGATTAAATAGGTTGTTATACATATAGTTAGTTGGAATCTGGTGGTTTTGGATAACTTTGGTTAGGGGGAGTTAGTTGATATAAGGATGTAGTTAAAAAGGATTACTTGCTTTGTAAGTTTTGTGCCGAAAACACCTTTATATCTGAGCAATGTAAACCATATGGAATTAATGAAGAAAGCATTTCACTGATACAATATTCTCCCTCATCTCTGTAAGATCCCACATCGCCCAGGGGAGTGATCTTTATATGTATATTCCCATCCCTACCTTGCATGAGGCCTTTTGGGAGCTCACTGGGTTTGGGTTCCATTGGAACTCCGAAGTTAAGCGAGTAGCGCGCGAGAGCAATCCCATAATGGGTGACCCGCTAGGAAGTTCTCGTGTGAGTTCCTAGAAACAAAACCATGAGGGCGTAGTCGGGGCCTAAAGCAGACAATATCATGCTACGGTGGTGGAGCGGGCCCGTGATGTGGTGGACCCCGGGCCAGGATGTGACAATTGGTATCAGAACCTAACCATGGTCGTGGTGTACCGACGAGGTCGTTGGGCTCCTTAAGAGGGGTGGATTGTAAGATCCCACATCACCTAGGGGAGTGATCCTTATATGTATATTCTCATCCCTACCTAGCATGAGGCCTTTTGGGAACTCACTGGGTTCGGGTTCCATCGGAACTCCGAAGTTAAGCGAGTAGCGCGCGAGAGCAATACCATGATGGGTAACCCATTGAGAAGTTCTCGTGTGAGTTCCCAGAAATAAAACCGTGAGGGCGTAGTCGGGGCCTAAAGCAAACAATATCGTGCTACGGTGGTGGAGCGAGCCCGGGATGTGGTGGACCTCGGGCCGGGATGTGACAATCTCTCTCTATCTTAGATTCTGCAGTTGTAGATATCTTAACATGGTATCATCACCGACCGATCTGGTGCTTCCGCTCAACCTCTAAAGCATTTATTTCTCTTCTCTACCCTGTAATTTGCATTTCTCTGTGATTTTTGGTGTCGAAAAATATACCAGTTGCTCAGAAAGTTGGTTTCTTCTCGTCTACCCCCCAACTGTTCAATCAAAAGTCTCAACCAAAGATTTTTCATGAATTTTGCAAAATGGTCACTGTTGCTCAATTGCAAATTGTTCAGTCGCCTATCACCAATCTTCTCTCCACTGTTTCCACTTCTGTTACAATAATGCTTGATGATTCAAACTATCTTACTTAGAGCTTTCAGGTCTGATTGCTTTTGGAAAGTC